GCATAGTTGTTTGGGAGCGGAATGTTCTGATGTTTAAATAGGAGTGGCATCTCGTAATGCCTGTCTTCTACATAGAAAACACCATTTTCCGTTGTTTGGTAGAGCTTCATATCATCCCGTGACAATGCTGTCCCTTTTTCTTACTTGGAGAAGTCCAATTCAAAAATTCACTGGATTGCCTGTGGTGTAATCTGTTCCTTAACCATTCTTGGCGGGACCACATATTCACGGGGTGATGACGAACCTTCTTGTTGATCAACATGTATTCTGTTGCACGCAATGCTTTGAGAAGAGAAGATAGGGCCATTTATGTACCATCGAAGGAGCGAGCATACTGCGTATGGATCGGACTCCTCACCGTAAACAATTTCTTTAGGTCGTAAGGCACTTGGAAGATTTAATACAATTAGAATTAGAAGTCCCACTTCGATGTCTTCTGTGTAGGGGGGTATTTCGGGGACTAACTTTTCTTAAATGAGTCATCTTACTAATCACATCAGGCCGTAGTATTTCGTTGAGGTCCACTGGAATGGTAGGGCGTGTGAATGTTCTGGGTAAGTCTAACATAACATCTTCCTAGCTAGCCACCATTAATCCTTCGATAGCCTTTATTCTCACGCTACTTGTTCCGTGGATCGTTGTAGGAATTAGGTCAGTGTTACTCCCTTCAACACCGAGTAACTTTTCTGATTTCTCTTTGACGAATGCTCCGCCACTGGCATTGTCCAGCACGGCATAAACTTTTATCCTCTTGGCTGGGTTCTCCAAGTGAACTAACCAGACAGGCAATATCCCCATATTGATTGGTACGTCTCCAGGTTCGATCATGTTGCAGGTGGCAGTGTGACTTGCACTAACTCAAGGTTTGTCTCCAGATTGATTCTTGTCACTCGTGTCGTTCGATCTCTTTCTTCAATCGTTGGGTGGTGCTAACTGCAAGTTTCACATTTCAGCCTTTCCTTGCAGTGCTTTGCAATGCGCTGGTCACTAAAACAACCAAAGTATACCTTCTTCCCCAAAACAAAGTTTCGCCGGTCACTCAAAGATTTCTTCAAAAAGTGTTCGCACTCATTCAGATTGTGTAGTTTCTTGCATAAATACCACGTTTCTGTCCGTTGGTATCCACTTTCTCGATGTACCTTTGTGACTTGGCTAGTTCCTCTTCCTCTCTTAAATGGCCTTTTTCTGAACTTAACGTGAGTGGGCTTATCTCGCTGTTCGCGATTTTACTTGCTAACACTTTCTTCCGAGAAAACAAGATCTATGGCAAGTTCGGCTTGTTCTCGCACAAATTATGAAAACTCCTTGAAGTCAGCGATTTTTCCTTTGACACTCATAATCCCACTGTTGTTTTCGGTCCATTTACTGCTCAAATGTCGAGGTAACTTTTCCAACTGTTGTCTTAGTACGCGAGCAGTGTTTCAATCACCCATATGTGATCTTCCTTTCATCGTGGACTTCACTTGATCAAGGGTGATAGAGAAATCTTGGAGAGTTGAGCCATTGTTCGGTGTGATTGGTGTCCAGGAAGATAGCTTCTTGAAATGGGCGGTAGCTATCTTAAATGGATCGCCTAATTTTCTCTTTAACAGCCCCTTAGCTTCTTATTAGCATCGTTCTGATTTAGACAGCTGTGAATAACTTATTTAACTTTATCCGAGATGTACTGGCCAAGAAAATATAAACTTTCACTGGAGTCGTCAACCTTTGCTTCGATCAATGTTTCAAAGGCTGTCATGAATGAGGGAAATTCCATGACGTCGCCATAAAACATAGGTGGCTCGCTTGATGGTAAAAGACTTCGCTTGCTCGGTATCTATAGTTTGAGACAATTCCGTTTGCTTTTTTACGATGTCAAAAATAACCTGAAACGTAGTGTCCCTGAGTTTGTTATGAGTTAGATGACAAGTACGTTGAGTAGCCTTCAAAGCCATATAAATACTGTGGTGTTTGTGTAATCCCCATCGGTTGATCTCCAGCGGAATATATGACCGCAGGCTGGGTTTGATATCATCTGTACCTAAAGGCTTTCCGTGGGGGTGTGTAATATTTCCCATAGTCGCAATGCCTCTAGAGGTTTCAAGGAAGAACGCTTCATCTGCTGATGTACATGCCATAATCGAGGTCTTGTACAGGGTCCTTTCTGTTTTATTGTGTATGTTGCGAGGGGATTTGCTTGAGGGGGGACCTTGTGGCCTTGATACATACATGTAAGTAGAGCTTACATGGAGTGACATTGGAGCAGGTACTGAACTTGAGAAGCTAACTGGTGATATAACACGAAATAATTCCGTATCCATTGAAGACGAACGTGAACGCGACACTTCGAAACTGACCTCTTCAAAACCAACCGAAGATATCCTGTTGACGTTTTCCATATCCGTAGTCAACCTTGACAACCATAAATCCGTCGCAAACCCGCCGAAAAATAGAATGAACCACAGTTATCCGTGCAGGTTAAACAATAATCCGTAGAGAGACTTCCGTGAGGCCGAGTTGAAACTGTTGCGCGAACGGTGACAAACCGTGTAAAATAGGGACCTTAAGCAACCACGACGGCGACGGCAACGAGGACGTGGAAAAACAAGAGATCTAATTGGCAGAACAATAGCTCAGCACGTGCGTTTTGAAACTTTGTACATTTCTTAGCCGTCCTATGCAAAACAACAACGTGAAATCGCCAAAATTTGCGTCGTCTGCGAACCGAAACCGCGACGGCAAATTATTTTAATTTTCATTTGGAACTCAACGCTACTTTTATACGTCATACTGAAGTTGAACTGTGGCGCCATATGAGACAGTAAGCTCCTACAGCCATGTTTGAAATTCTAACTAAGAGTAGAAATTCATTTTTTAATCGGAGTCTTCCTTGGCGTTGCCGTCCTGACTGCTTAAGGTCCCTAATGAAACTTTCACGAAGGCTTTGAGGAAACTCAACCTAAACGTTACAATCCTTAACGCAACTTTAAGACCGTAAAATCGTGACTCTGAACGATATATAGAGAGAAATAGAGAGAGGTTTTGATTCGGTAGCCTCGTGGCACTGTTCGAAGAGGCCGCTACCGCGCATGCACGGAAACTTAAAAGTTCCGTACGGCAACCCAGGCGACGGCCGTGCGTCGCAACAGGCATTGCAGACCATCAATTTCACGGTTTAAATCTTCATTTGAAAGTTCACGGTATTAGAGGCCTTTTTTTCATACTGCTCGATAAGCATAGAAGTAAACAAAGAGAAAATGTTTCCACTTATTTCTTTATGAAGTGATTGTTCACTCATTTTGTTACTTGATATCTATTTTCAGCAGTGCAATGGCTGGATATTGAATATGTATAAATATGTTGATGCAGGTGAGTTTGTTCCATGATGACTGTATGAGGAGCAATTTATCCTTGATAAAAAGAAAGGTCTTCAAGATCCTTTGATTTTTATTGCTGCTGAGCAACTACAGTGTATTTAATTTTATAATTTTGGAGAGTCTATCTAGTTCAATGTCTTTAGAAATAAAAAATGGCGACCAACCTTTGGGATTGGCTACCTTTTTAGGATAATTAGGAGCGAAGTGGCATTTAAAAAACGCTAATTTTACGCCCTACAACGATTTTCTAAAATTGTTTTGGAAAAATATTACTTGTCTCCTTCCAACTAATGTTATGAAGATATCTATCACATGCTGCCAGTTCGAAAATACATCATATATATTGAAGAAATCTTGCTTTTTTTGACCAAATTCATCCCTCGCTGTCACCTCGCGAAATAACCTCCGCCATGTTCCTTTCCATTCTTCTTGTGACCAAACGAAAAGGCCCAGTATTCATCGAAAAACGTAACGGTTAACCACATGGCGTCTACACGTGGAAAGCCTACCCGTAGACCCCAGTAGGGGCCTTTGCGGCCCGCACACCCTCAACATTGGGGGAAGGTAACAAAGTTACCAGCTATTTCTTATTTTTTACCTCCTATCCAAAAAATTTAGCAAGAACCCTGTAATATATGTTTATCGTAACGTGCAATAGTCCTCCATGAAAGCTGATCAATTTTTTCTTTAAAGATGACAGCCAGAAGCGATAATTTTCTTCCGGATATTGCTCATAACATAACACTCTTTCAAAGCCATGCACATTCCGTTTGTCGTAAAAGTTTGCTGTTAAGAACATTTGATGCAGACATCACCAAAATGTGCGATATATGATTTTTGAGCTTACGTATTAAGAACTACAGTACTATAGCCAACGAGGTGCATAGTGTCAGTTCCAGAATCGGTGTACTTTTGGAGAAATTCAGATCAGCCCTCTTCCTATCTCACCCTAACATAGAAAATGACCGAAACTGTACCGAGATAAAATAATTGATTCGTCTGTTCACATTCACTCTCCGAGAAAATTGAATGCATCAAAGTAAAGACAAATAATGTCATCATGTATGGTAGGAGTACAAATTTGATAGAGAGATGAACATTTCATACTTTCTTAGCGAAGTTTTTGTTTGAAAATGAGTCCCCCTGGCCGCGAACAAGCAGCTGTTATTACCACGGAAACAAGATTGCGGCAACCTTTAAAAAGGGCATTTTTGTGCATCCTCTCTCGATGCCTAACTGTGTGCAGAATTTGAAGAGGGGGTTGAAATTTTTTAATTTCTCAAGACGTTTGAATCTTACAGAGACTAGTTCGTAAGGTTTTTAGAAGCTTTTAGAACTTCTTCAAATGGTTGCCAGCCATTAAGTCGCCAAATGTCTCATCGTATTCCTTACTCTAAAGACAGGTGGTCAACCCAGGTGAGGTCAACTTTACCTCCCGTAATATTGTGCAAAGTGCGTTTTTCGGCTTTGGTTCGTCTTGATCTGTTTATGTCCTGTTCTTCTCTTTTTTTTAACTTTTCCTTTAGGTGATAAATTTTGGATTTCAAGATGCGAAATACCTCTTTCAAGAAAGTCAGCTTGGAGCAAAGTAGCATGATTCTAAATTTAGATCTCATAAACAAAACATCTTTACATTTTGATTACCTTCATGCCTGTTTACTCTGGAGCAGCAAGCAGAATACTAGGTATCATTCATCCTGGTAATGAAAAAACGAGCACGTTATTTCAGACGCAGACCAGCAATCCACATGGGGTTTTTTTTATATGTTTAAAATTTGCAAAGTTCCTTGCACCATGCCACATGGGCGAGGTACTACTATTTGTGTTTAAATTAACAAACTGGGTGGAGGGCCTCGCACTTCTTTTCAAACCCATTAAATCTCAAATGGCCAAAACATGATCCTCATTGTGCGCCAACTTCTCTCTCTATAGTAGGTCATTTTGTGGTCCTGAAAAGTGGTACGTAATGGGAGCTCGGTCGATTTGACGCAAAAGACCTGAACTATGTTTCAATTACAACTGTTCACAAAAGAATGAATTCATTCTAAGCCACCTTTCCAGTGAAGATTCTGGCTCAAACAATCGTTTTAAACTCACTGGTAGACATAACGCTTTTGAAATCTTAGCGGAAAACTTTTTGCTTTCAATTTACCAAAATTATAAAAAGGAAGTAAAAAGACCAAGCCTCTTTAAATTGTCATCATTGATATGGGAAAGACGTTCTTAAAGCCGAGTTTTTCTTTTAATGATAAAAATTCAAAGAACATTTTACTTCCAGTTCTTTCTTTACAATAGGTCATTTTACCGTGCTATAACATAAAATGGAGGCTCGGTCACACTTTATTCCGGAGAACTGAAAATATTTTCTTAACACAGCCCTGCACTAAAGAATCAACTCATTCTTAGTCGCGTTTCTTGTGAAGATAATGGCTGTCTCAGGCAACTGTGTCTTAAAATAGGTGGTATACACTACGCGTTTAAACCTCTCAGGTTTGAACTCATCGTTTTTTATCTACTAACATGGTAAATTCGCTAGTGTGAAGACCAAAACTTTCTAAACATTATCACTATGAAACGGGAAAGCGCCCTTAAAGTTTTTAATTTTTTTTTGTATTTAAAAAAAATTAAAATTCAAAGAAAATTTTACCAGCGAAAACAGGCCGCATCAATACTCGCACCGTGCAATTATAATAATAAAAAAATAATATGGAAGTGTGCATTTACCTTTCAAAGTTGAGTTTCTTCTTCAACGATGGAGTAATTTTCCCCCGAACTTAAGGTGTGAGAAGCGCACAGGAAGCTTAAAGTACAAGCATTATTTTGGCATACGGTCAAAACAAATACGTATAAAGTGTTGGACAACCAATTATCGCGGCTTTTGAAACAAAAGAGCAAAGGTTTTCAAACGTAACAAGTTTCGCTTTTAATTAAAAAAAGCACAGACCAGCTGAAACCAGATGAGCACAGAATTGACTTTATCCGCGGGAAGAGTCCATTTATCATCAATCATTTTCAAACTTTTTCCGAACCTATAAGTCTATTTTAACTTATTAGAGCAGAGCTGACAAAGCCAGCGTAGCCTCATATTCATACAATTTAACAATTTTTTTCAATGCTTTAGCGTGCTCTATCGAGTTATGGAGCACGCGGGAAGTTTGGAGAGCTCGAAAGAAGCGTAAGAGTTGCCCGAGGCGATAGCAACCCTAAGCTTCTTGAGAACATAGCCGGTGGAATTTTGCATCAAATGTGACACGAACAACGGACAACGATATCAGAATTGACTGTTCGCGGTAAGCGAAATATTAAGCAAAATAGGAAATAGTTTTTATTTCAAGTTTTCTGTTTAAGGGCTCGAGCTTTATTTTACTGCAGTTTAAATACTTAATTCTTTATTTTTAAAAAACAAATCAAGCTCAAGAATGGAACTTTTATTTAACAATTATTTCCTGATTAAATATAAAATTCTTCTAACGACAGAGAAGAAACTCTGCGGTTTAATTGGTTAATTTACAACACGCCACATTTTCTGTTTCTCTGAGAAAACGAACTCTTCTGAGAAAACGAACTCTTATGTTAACTAATAGTTAACATAAATCAAAATGCTTCAAAAAGTATATCGATTACCGAAAATAGACCATTGCAAAACGGTCTGAGTGAACACTGAGAACAGTATAACAGTAAATGTCAACAAGTATGGCTAAAATTTGGTCCAAGATCAGAGTGATGTGGACATTCTGAACGGTGCAGTTGTTAAAGAAAGATCCGAAGCCCCTTGTGGTTTTCTCAGTTGCAGTGGACACAACGAGGCCGTTTTAATAATAATAATAATAATGATAATAATAAACTTTATTAATGTGTCAAATCAATAGCAGTTTCCCAATAAATAAGGACACTTAAACTAAACCAATTTACTATATATAAAACGCATAAAATATGCAATCCTGCCCCGTATAGTTGACCCTGTATATATGTACTAAACTACCCTGTGTATTTAAAATTACCTAAAAGATTAGAAATACAATGCTGATAATATAAAATATTAAGATTTACATACAATACAGTTCTTGCAATTGTCCGAGGAGATTAAACTTTGTATATCTAATGTAGGTAAAGCACTTTTAAATTCTTGTAGCGTTCTTAGAGTTCTTGTTTTTCCATCTAACTTAGACCAGATTACTGGACCTAAGTACCTAAGAGAG